GGGGGGGGTCCAATCCTGAAGTATTCCAAAGCAGAAACGATCAATCCGTCACTTGAACAGAACATATAAGTTTAGTTTTAGTAAGAATATCACAGCACCTGCGATACAATTAGGTCATATAATAAGTGCCGAAGATTAGAGGTGTTTCAAGGGAGTTACTTACTTACTACCCATTCCGCCATATGGCGTTAAGGCCAGTAATGGGAGTAACAAACACAAAAAAGAAGGAGGAGAAATACGTTTGTTTGCTTTTTTGGTAAGAGTTTTACGGCACTTGCAACACAATAAGGTCATATAAGTGCCGAAGATGAGAGGTGTTACAAGAGAGTAACAAACACAAATAAGAAGGAGGGGGGAGATAAAGACGATAGATGTTTGATAGGAAAGAAGAAGCAAACCACATCAGAGCACCTGCCAACCACTCACGGAGAGATATGGAAGAAAGATGTTTGATAGGAGGGAAGGAGCAAACTACACCAGGGCACATACCAACCACCCACAACAATTAAAATGAGGAAAGTGTAAAAACATAAAAAATGTTCTCCTATTAAATAAGCCATATATATGCATTGGATAAAGAGTGAAAAAACCCATTTTTGTTCTCCAGGTGGTACATCCCTGGCTTCTAGCTGTTACCATTTCACTGTTCACTTGAACCTGATATGAAGCTTTTCATCTATACATTAACTTAAATTTACTAAAACACTGACATACAGCACATGATATTATACACACACACACTTGCACAGACAACCAATGAATGAGTGATACAACAATATATTACTGTAAATTACAGTGCTCTTCGCAATTAAACAAAATGTACAATGATATAGTAGCAAAATAACATGTTAATAAGTGATCCAAAAAGGGTGATATTACAGTACATTTTTTAATCAACTCATGATGCTCTTGGTATTTCAATTAAACACAAGTTAATTTCAGTACAATTAATTTCTTTTCTTTGTTTCCTTTTTTTTTTTTGAAGGGGGGGGGGGGTGCTTTGATTTCATATTTTACTCTATTCATGTATTTCTCATAAAATGCCTTTCACTTCCCTTTACTTTGTGTATGCACAGGGGCAGTGCAATTAAAAACTGTAATAGTCTTTTTCTAAAGATAGGTGCACTGTTTTTTAAATTTTTATAAATATCTGAACCCCATAAAGAGTAAACCATCAAGACAAAAGAAAAGAAAAAAAGAAAAAAAAGGCGGAACGAAAATTAGATAGACCCCCTTAAAACAGTACTCATGTTTCAAACCACTACAACGTAACCCAATTGTTTGTGGAGACACTGAATAAAAAACTTCTCCAAGCTGGAATCAAACTCGCATTTTTACCATGCACGTGTTGTTGTTTGTTTTTGTTTGTGTTTGTTTTTTTGAGGGGGGGTAAGTATTTTACAGCACTCGCAACCGCAGGGAAATTTGGAATTTTGCCCGGGTGGCCGGCGAAGCCTACTCTTATCAATTTTAGACCACAAAGGGATCTTTAACATACGCAACTTGCACACGGGACCTCCGAGATTTTTAGCTTTTGTCCGAGAAGTCTAGGTGTAGATCTTTCCTACTAGAAGATCAGGGGTGAGGCTGAAAGACAGCAGTCAGAAGGTGCCAAGGAGTAGCAGTAGAAAGGCTGCAGAAAGAGTCAGGAGCCCAGAGGAGGGGGCAAAGGAGAGGAGGGGGTGGGGGCACAAAATGGAGACGAAAGCAGACGACAGAACATTGCAAGAGAGCAGGGAAGGAAGTGAAGGGAACCATGCACATTTGATTTCTCTGAACCAAATATAATATAGTCTTACATCCCTGCTTTACTAAATTTTGCGTCTCTGCATTTTGATGGGGGGGAGGCGGTGTGTGTGTGTGCACAGGCACACGGGCTGGGAACAGGTGCAAAGTGACTAACATAAGCTCAGGATTTTGCTCTGAATGCTCAGCGTAGAGATTAACAGTAGGATTGGGGCATTTTTGTGCCCTATTTTCATCGCACACAAAGTAAAAAAACAGTATTTGTATTGTAATGTATGACATGCTGTAATCAAGTGTAATGTTTCTTTTGCATTTTGCTAGTGGTAGTACCTTAAACTGGTATAGCATTTGACACTTTTTTCAACATGAAATCATTCTTTTCACTGTGCTTTTTCCCTACTGAGTCCATGATAAAATAAAGATTTTTGTTCTCTTATAACAAGTATAGCATTCTTCAACAAGTCTTTTTAGCTACACCTGGAGAAAAGCAATGCATGCTGATGTACTAAAGCAAAACAAAATCTTAGAAAAACCATGCACCTTTTAAAAGCTTGGTCACAAGTTGTATTTCCTTTTCAAACTACTATCTTGCTGTACTTGAACAGTAATTCTGATCATAAGAATTAACACAATTTATTAGTTTCCAAACAAGAAAACTGAAATCCAAAGGACTGTTGCATGAGAATGTCAACCCTACAACCAATCAGTCAGCAACACCATATTACTTTTTGGGCAGGAGTAAACCAAACAGGTGATACTTCACTAGGATCATTCATCCCTCGTCAAACATCAAGTGGAAGAAGAAAAAGAGTACTATATGACTGAAAAGATTTAAATATTTCATGTGAATGATAAAACGACGCAAGCTGCTTAAATCTTTGTGCAATGCAAATTTTCTCTTGACCCAATTTCCTATTGGACTTACATTGTCTTTCAAATATTTAGACAAGATCAGTAAGAAGTCAAAATTTCTTTTCAGTCCTAGATGTAAAAGAAGGAAAAAATGGTTTTCATATAATATCATTTTAACACGTTACCTATAAGCCGAAATAACAACCAATAATCCAATTACTTTTTTGCTGTAGCTTTAATCCAGGGATACACTGGTCTTAGTCTTAAGATCGAATCACTGCCACGCAGTGATTAGAGCAGGTTAGCATAAATAGTTTTGAAGGACCCAAGTCTGTATTCAGTGAATTTGATCTCAGACAGAAAAGAAATCTTTATTTTTAAACTTCTACTCGGTTAGAAAATGCTACTTTTCACCCTTTAAGGTAGGCTCCACTGTTTGAGTTATAATCCAAGGAAACGCTTTTTTCATAGAATTGTAATATATTATGATGGATTTATCTGAGCGCAACTGTTTAGAGGAAACAACAATGTCCTCAGACCTCAAAATTTAAATGAAAGTCCTTTTCAATAAGCATCCAAAGAATATGGTGGAACCCCATTTTCATGATCTGAACAAAGAATTTACAAAATTGAAAGCTTCGACCACTATATTTCAAAAATACTCTAGAATTAAGCCATTACTTGACTTTTTGTTGACATGTAAAATTATCTTTTTTAATAGGACTTGCATGCCAAGTCATTTGATACTTTTGAGTTTGACAAGCTCTCCAACACGCACAGAGGTGCAAATTAAAGCTAAAAAAAGGTAAAATGCAGCCTTTCTTTGCCCAGCTAGAACATTCAACTAATGAGCAATCCCAGTGATAGCAATATGAAGACTGACAGGGATTTTGACTTGTCTTCTAAAGTCAGAAGCTCTATTATAATTCCCATTTATTATTAGTCTCAACAATGGTCAGCAGTCCAGTAAACAGAAATAAATTCCCAGTTTTCTACTTCATTTAAGAACAGCAGCTGAGATGGCCCCCAAAAAACAAATTCTGGCATAAATTTTGTAAGAGAGTAAACCTAGAGTGAAAATAAGAAAGTTTGGTGAGTTTTTGAATATGGAAGGGCATTTAACTGATAATAAGGAAAATAGAATATAACAAGATTGAAATCAAGGTTCATCTAAGGTAGAAGGATACTTTCAAAACTTCATAATTTGATATATATATTCAAGCTAAAAAAACAAACAAAATTATTACAGTTATACAGGACAAATGTGTTGAGAAGAGAATTGTAGTTCACACAAAAATAATGAAATATGTTCACATGTCTTTTCACTTACCGAGGGATATTCAAAATCTGGCTGGCTAGCCTGGTCCTGTATGTAATCAACTTTTGCCTTGTTCTCATGATGCTGTAATGTAACTGGTGGGTTCAGTGTACTCATTGCACCTGTGATGGTCTGGAGATTAAAAAAACAAAAAACTATTATGGATCTCTATCTCTATATTATTTCCTATTTTCTTTAAATTCAATTTCATAAAATCTAAGAGGTTATCAAAGCCATGCAATTTATACTTATTCCACAAAGCCAAGTTTAGGAGTAACCCATAATCAACAAGCACTAAAAGCTCAAATAGATTAGCACGCAAGATTTAAAGGCACATAAAGAAAAAGATTTTCTACGAGTCAAGGGTAGTGATACAAGTCAACTATCACACGTTAAAACGGTAGGCTAAATATTTCTTTTTATATTTCAGTTTTCATAAAAAATGTGAACTAAAACTTTATAAACAAAACTTCATCTTTTCAGACAGTGTAAAAGTACACTAATCATCAACAAAAATTAAAAATGTTCGATAACAATCGAACATCCCCACCATTTACAAACCAACCAACCCCCCATTTAGCAAAAAAAGCTACCTAAATAAAATGTAAAAGAGCGCTAAAAAAAATTAAGAAACTATACATCAAAAGTGATTATGTTTCAGCTTCTTCATAATGTCAATGCCCAGGAATGTAGACATTTTAAACTCAAAGCTTACAAGGAAAGAAAAAAAAAAGCTTTGCCATGACTTCCTAAAATAGAGCAAAAATATTTTTCTTACATATACAATTTTTTTACATTATAATGCCTCTCATCCAATACATTGTAGCAAGTACACATCAAAATATTTTGTCTACCACAGCAAGTCTTCAGAGAAAAATATAATGGAAAGAGACAGAGTGGATTTTGTTGATCTAATAAAAACAAAAAAAATTCTTGCCATTATTTCCGCATTGTACATTTTTTTAAAAACATGAGCTCTGCAGCATTACATTTGGAGGATATTATTGATAGATCTAGTGCTGTAATCTGTACTATTGTATTATTGTACATCAAATTACTGACATTTTCCCCCATAACAACCAATAACAAAAATGGATTTTTCATAGAAAGAAATCCAGTCAATTTAGTATCAACACTGAAAGTAAACTTATAACATCATATAATACGTCCTCATGAAACTGAAGAAAAAAAATTATAATTAAAAACCAGAATTTAGAAACTCGCTATTCTACACTCTTCATTTAATTAATTAGGTCCTTTTTTTTTGGGGG